TTAAAAAAATCTCTGAGACGCATAATGAGGAAAGAGTGCATGGAAAATTTGATACTCACAAAACATTAAAAAACAAAAGGAGCAGAGGGAAACAACATATAACCTACCTAAGGATCTTACGTAAATCGATGGCAGAACAGAGACCAAGACAGATAGCAATATAAATCATTACTTAGATCTGCAAAGGATAGGAAATTGTGGAGAGCTGTTGATCATCCATATCCTATAAAGCTTGAAAAGCCTATCGCTAATCTATCGTTATTTCTATGAAAAGTGTTCAGAAGAACTACATTCCTCAGTTCCATCAGTTAGGAGTTACGTTTACCTTAATGGCAAAGACCCGCCATCCGACTCACATACGATTCATCCCCTTCGTATTACATTGGTGGTATGTAAGTTCCAGTCGAACAACTTTTTCCCACGAACCATTACTCTGTGGAACCGACTCCCAAGCGAATGGGCCTATGATCACTATAAGTTTAACCTATCCAAATCTTGGGTTAACCGTTATTCCCATAAATTGTGCTTCTTACCTCTTAATGTGTAACATTCTAACTCGAGTAACCATCGAGCTTTGAACAGGGTGAACAATATTGTAATAAAACATGTATTAGAGTGACAAAGTACATCACTGATTGTTGTAAACCAGTCTTATTCTCGTTCTTTGTATTACTTTTAACAGCTACTATGATGAAAAGGAACAAAAACCAATGCCAGGGTACTGTATAGAATATAGAACACTGCACAAAGAAATTAGGAACAAATGCAAGCAGGCTAAAGAGGAATGGCTTAACAAAAAAAGTGCAGAAATAGAAAGTATGAGCATCACAAATAAAGCAGACATGCGTAAAAACATACGAGAACTAATAGAACAAAAGCTCATCATCAGGATGCATAAAATCCAAGGACGGGACACTGATATTAGGGAAAGAAAAAATACTTCAGAAATGGAACGTTTTCTAAGGCTTACCAGTGATACAAGTCCAACTAATTAACCCATAGTTAGGGGAAGAGATAGATGTATACCTTCCCCAATGATATTTGCACGTAAGTAAATGTAACGAATCCAACGTACATTGGATCGATTCCGAGCCACTATCCATAACACCACCCACACATTCAAGATTACAGCACCTGGTAGATATGGAATGAATAATCACAAGTTTAGGAGGGGCACCTTAACGTAGTGTAATGCTTAGCAAGATTGTCTCTATAGAACAATTACAACTGAGTAGTGAATTCGATCTTCACAGGGTTCACCATACTTTCGGCCTTGTGCTACACTTAAAAAATATATGTTTAACAGAGATAGCAAAATTAATAGCTGAAAACGACAGAAAGTTGTGGGGAGCCATGATTGCCAATATCATGAAGAGACACGGCCTATTGAAGAAGACAACAGCTACTAAACAGATACACTGACCTCTTTCGATAATATAAATAGACGTTGTATGAGATAGCGCCATCCGAGTGCAATGCTTTTGCTATTTTCAATATTTATCTGATGGCTTCAAAACATATGACGTGTGTCCGTGGTATTGATTAACGTCTGGCTATTTATTGTAGGTCCTTTTCAATACAACCGACATTCAAATTTATTTACATAATAATGGAAGTCCGTTCAAAATAATAATAAAAGAAACTGTCTTCATTTATTCAAGTCGTATTTCTTCATATGATTCTTAATTCTGCTTCGTGCAGCTTTGTGGATTATGAAGCTAAGAAGTTCAAATAAAGACGTTCACGATATTCATCAACTTTAAAACGTATTCAGAATAAATAAATGGAAAACAAAGGCATATGTGTGTGAGTGTACGCATCTGTATACACGTATATATATATATATATATATATATATATATATATATATATATATATATATATATATACACATTAAGAATTGGACAAAGTCCGACAATTTATTAAAGACATTTTTATGTTTAACATTCTTTTTATAGATACAAGTATTTGAGTAAATGCTCTGTTTATAATAAACAGTATTAAATAACATTTACCGGCCTGAATGACCGAGAAATTTTCATAGAAAATATTCGTCCTATCATATATATATATATATATATATATATATATATATATATATATATATATATATATATATATATATGGGAATCCCTTGATTAATACGCATTCAATTAATGCGTTTTTGATTAGTGCGCTGAAGTTTTTATATACCAAAATTTGATAATGCATAATACCTACTATATTAGTGCGATAAAAAATTCTTCAGTTTAACAATTTTTTAACCATAGTAATTGAAAATTGATTTTTATAGTTATCGATTAATTAACAATTTTTTAAAATGTAAAAATGAAAAATGGGTAACTATTTTGTTTGTCAATTTTGTATATATTCGATGAATGCGTTTTCCATTAGTGCATAAAATAAATATATCGTCTACATAACGAACATATATTTCAGGTTTAATAACTTTAGTAAAAAACCTTGCTTTCAACATAGGGCATACAATAATTGAAGAAGCAATGATGGAGTAAGTATGGGAAACCCTCTTGAGTCGTGCTTCTCCAATTACTATATATCCTTTGTTGAAAACAAGGTTTTTTACTAAAGTTATTAAGCCTAAAATATATGTTCGTTATGTAGACGATATATTTATTTTATCGCAACAGAAATTGTATAAAAAAACTAAATCAAAGCACCTAGTCAGTCGCATTCAAAGAAATGTGCATGACAGAAGGATTGGTTCCTAAATACACACACACACACACACACACACACACACACACACACACACACACACATATATATATATATAATTTAAATAAGGTGTATTTCAGCAGCAAGAATTCTCTCAAACATGTTTTGTTAAATAATATGGACAAGTTCTCTCTATCAGTGTTTTTAATTAAATCTTTTGAAATTGAAATTTTTACACGCAGACACATAGAAAATTTATATGATGTCAACTTCTGTGTATTGAAATTGTTTTCCTCAAACGTGAGAAGGTCGGAATTCAAAACCAGTTGCGTAACTACAGACAGAAAAATCCTTGAAAACGAATGGAGCAACATTCGAAAGTACTCGGGAGAAAAAAAAAACTGATATAAAATAGAAGTTAATAAGAATTTTGGTAAATTTACCGGTAACACAAAACTACTTATTTGGAAATGTGAAACATTTAATAACAACATTGATAGACAAAACTTGACCATATATATGTGTGCGTGTACCGTGCGTCAACGGCTTAGGGGTAGAATCTCCGACTGACGCCAATTAAACCGGGTCTCGATCCTAGCTAGAAGCAACCGGTCGTCTACCCAGAGTGTTGAGCTGTGATACAGCGAATCAGTCTGTCTCTGGATGACGATATATATGCGATCCTAACTGGGTGCCCCATACTTTCGGCCTTGTGCCACAACTAAGCTACGCTTGGAAAAACACTATATGTGTGTGTGTGTGTGTGTGTGTGGATATGACCATATTATGTTGAAACACACGATCACCGGAGTTTAAGCAACCGATAAGATCAGTGGGTGACTACTTGGAATAACAGGTTATGTCCTCTGGGTTTGTTTCGTTTTGTTTTATTGCTTCTGGTGTAATGGATAACGGCTCAGAATTGTTAATCGGAGAGCCGAGTTCCAATTCCCGTTGTATTCACTTACGTACAAACAACATTAGGAAAGGTATGAATCATCTCTTTCACGTTCAACTATAGGTTAATTAATAAGACTGGTATCACTAAACCATTATTATTTCCCCTAAGTATCATTAGAGTCTAAAAATATTTTCTGTTTTTTTTTTAAATAACCTTCGAACGGTTGATGAGTAATATAAAAACGAATAAAAAAAAAAACAGACTAAATATATGTATATATAAATATATATAAATATAGGTATGTGTGCATGTATAAATATGTATTAGACAAATCAATGGCAATAAAGTCCTGTTAGATGACATGATGCGTAACAGTTTTTTCAACTTTGTCGTTTACTTACCTAACATTGTTCTGATGTATAAACATTTATAGATCAATATATATATATATATATATATATATATATATATATATATATATATATATATATCGTACGTCTAGCCACACTGAAGAGCTGTGATACAGCGAAACAGTGTCTGTGTGCATCTGACGTATTTCACGTAGAAAACGTTAAAATTCTCCTGTCGTGCGACGATAGTCTAGGGCTAGAATCTTTAACTGATACCAAATCGGTCGTGTGTGCATGTATTTTTTATGTATATGTGTGCATATATGTGTGTAGATTTATGTGTGCGAATGTGTAGATATGTGTGTATATATGCGACTGTATACATGTGTTTATGTATGCATGTATATATGTGTGTGCGTGTTTATATGTGTGTATATATAGACGCGTCACCATTCCTTGAATTCGGAGCGGCATAAATTATACAAACGATGATTAACAAGTCAAATGCACGTGAAGCCTGATTAAGCAATGGAAATAATAACACAGAAATAAAAACAGCAGATTTTCCTTCTTTCTCCATATCTAAATCTCTGATGAAGCTTTAATAAAAGTGAAACATGTTAGATTGATAAACGTTTCCTGTTTTTTCTTTATCTTATCATACATATTTAATCTGTATTTGATCCAAATTCGTCATATATTGATGTGTATATATCTGTATATCTATATGTGTGCGTGTATATATCTCGGTGTGTGCGTGTGTGTGTGTGTGATGATAGGAATGATTTTTTGTAGCCTGGCAACCTAACAACCATAAGTAGACATAGATAATAAGCTATAATTATTGTTAACCTCAAACTGCTTAACTCTTATCTTTGTTTCTCTGACACTCTATTTTCTATATATTCTTTCCACCACCCAACTTGTGGCAGAACCGTATTTATTACTGAACGACCATGAATTTAAGCGGGATGAAAATAGGATTGATGTGTTGGTGTTGGTGGTAGTGTTGCGAGACCAGGGGTAGATAGATGAAAGGTGAAATGTTAACATAGAGCTAATGTTCTTATCGGATGAAACCATCATGTGCTGATAGTGCCCTTCACCTAGATATCACACCTGGATTCATTGAGACTAACACGGGATATACATTGTGTAGGGTCAATCGATACAAGACGGATCCAACCACGTGGCTGTCGAGAAAGGACAAGAGGTGAATAACAATGTTAATCGATTTTGGGTGGCGAGAAGAACGGAAGGAAGAGAAGAGGAAATAAGGGGTGGTGACAAAACTAAGAATTAACGAAGAGAAAGCAAGAATTATGAATATCGCAAAGGAAACAACAGATATGCAAATATGGAATCGTGATAGAAAGGTCTAAGGCGACGAAGAGGAAGAAGACATAGGGGAAGGACAAAGTGCGGGGCAGAAGTTAATGAGAAAGAAGTTAGCGAATAAGACAATGATAATTAAGTTGTATGCACACACATAACGAAATATAAAGAGAAGAGGTAAGATAGAATATTGAGATAATTGGGGAAAGTAACGGTGGAGCAATAGATAGCGGCTCGGATTGTGGATTCCATTACATTCATTTTCGCACTTGGGAAAGGTATGAATCCTTTTTTCTTCTCCCCCATCCAGCTATGGATAAAAGGATAGACATTAGGGTAAAAATGATTATATATATATATATATATATATATATATATATATATATATATATATATATATATATATATTTATTTATTTAAAATATGATTCCAACACGCCACATAAGAGTTTATGTTTGCCAAAAACTTCAATATAATTATTTGAATTAAATTCCCCCAAAAATTTCGCTTGAAGATGGAACTGAGCTTACTTTAATTCAATTTAATTCAAATAATTATATTGAAGTTTTCGGCTCTTGTTTTGAAACATGAGAACTCTTATGTGGCGTGTTGGAATCATATTTTTAAATAAATAATTATATTTATGCTCTACTTTTGTATCGAGCACTATTTTTTTAAATAATAACAAAAATACTAAAGAACTTTGGATTATTTACCTAACGAGTTCTTTCCTATTATATATATATATATATATATATATATATATATATATATATATATATATATATATCTGATATGGTTCTATAACCTTGGATGGTAACACGTCTACCGCAGAAAGAATTGGCATCCAACTGCGGGAAAAAATCTGTCTCGTCAGTCATTTATCGAAAGATACATGATCGCCTAAGCATGTATCTTGCATGGTACATAACTGACAGATAAGAAAAAAAGTGAAATTGGTAATGTTTTTGTGGCTGAATCAATGTAAATTGACATTCTCTGTCTTCAGGTACAGACCTGTTAATTAAATAACATCTATGTCTTTTTAATATCATCTCTAATTATAAAACTGCCTACCAAATGGAAAGGAGAATTCATATTAGGTTAAAAGATTAATACCTTAACATGTGTTTAGTATATAGACTACGACGACGGTATTTCTATGTTTGAAAAAAATATAACCCGTTATGATACATTTTGGACTACATGTAGGAACCTATAATTAATATCAGATATATATATATATAATTTTAATCATTTCAACCTAAGCAAGGCAATAAAGCCACTAAGATGAAGGGAATTACTGCGTGTTAGAGAATATGAAAAAGAAAGAGAGAGAGAGAAAGTGAGAGAGAGAGAGAGAGAGAGAGGACAGTAAAAGAACAATAATTAAGAAGATAATAGATAACGATTGACATTGCATTTAAATCTTTGAAGATCAAAGTTGACTGGGGAGCAAAAAGCCGGAAGAGAGTCCCACAAGCGAGAAATGCCAGAGAAGAAACAGTTAGCATAGAACTTGCGGTTGCATCTAGCCATTTCAGCTGTAAAATGAGGGGACCTTGCCGTCAATCTAGTCTTCTTTGTATGCCGTGTCCTCAGAGGATGTAGTCGATCGTGGCTCTCCACAAGTTACTGTCTTTTGTAGCTCTTAATAGATTTTGTTTTTGGTTATTTCTGCTAAACCCTGTCCCGGCATCCATCTACTCAAGCTCACTAAGTATGTAATACGTTGTTTTCCTCTGCCACTGTTATCTTCAATGTGTCCTGTGAGTATCAGATTTTCCAAGCATGCTTTCCTCATCATATGCCCTAGAAATCTCTTCCTGATTTTAAGTATAAGATTCCGCCAATCTCGTAGTGCGCTTATATTAATGAAGTCTAGGTACTATAGAGGAAATTTCATCAGAACAATTACAAAGAATGTATTTATAGTATATACACAGGGATGCTACATTACGGTGGTTGGAAAGTGACTGATTTTAATTTTTATCATATAACCGGGATTTTACGGTGGACTTTGATAGTTAACGGTGTTCGTGTAGCATAACAGCTATCGTTTCGGGATGTGGAATCCACATTTCAAGTTCAAATTCAGGCCAAGAAGAGGTATGAAAGCATTTCTTCTCCATCCAACTATGGGTTAAATAGCAAGGCAGACTGCACACTCTAGTATTGGTTTGTAAGAAGTCTATGGAACGGATAAATCTGAGTTCAAATCCATTTATATTTGCCGTTGGCAACTCCATACCTTAAAAGAACGGAAATCGCACTAGCATCACGGGAGGCTATGCCCCTCTACTCCATATGCAGTACTCCTTTCATGATGCCGTATATGCTGGCGTACAAGGCGACTGGGTGTATAAGACAACCTTCAAATTTTTAAGTTAAAACGTAGGCTTCGAGCTACATTCGCCATACAATACGAGCCCAAAAATCGTATTTTAAAATGCAATGAATTTATTAAATAAATTCAGTAAGCATATACTTTCATTTCTTTTCAAATTCTAATGAAAAATCGGTGGGGAGATGTTGTCAGTTAACTACCACAATCTACTATACCTCATGAGTGAGTGCTGCGTTTTTCGGTAGGCTATTATGGTAGCTTGTATAACTTTTCTCGGCTAACCACCCACTCGTCCCACTATTCTCGAATGGGATCTTTAAACGGCGAATTGAGACACACATCTCTAATGCTACTATAAACCCAGGATTTAAGGTTGACATTTTATACCGGGAGTATAAGACGACTCTGGGGAGGATTTTGAAGATTAAAAGGTCACCTTGTACGACAATATATACGGTAGAAAAAAAACAAACAAAAAAAAAAAAAAACGAAAAGAAATAAGAAAAAAATGCCCTCACGGTAACATGTTTAGCTCTATTCCTTTTTAAATGCAATGTATGTCTATTGATATAATGAGAAATCGGAGAGCCGAGTTCGAATTTCAGTCGAGTTCGTGGCGTTCACTTAGGTGCAAATACGAGAAAGATATGAATTCACCAGCTATGGGTAAATAGCAAAACAGACTGGGAGCTAAAGACTTGTTTAGCAACCAATTTAGGAGAAGGAAAACTCTAAATTCAAAAGTTGAGGAGGATTGTTTAGAGATCTTGTTGTACATCATGTGCATAAGTTCTTCCGAAGAGCGTGGTTTGTTAACCATAAACCTTCAACACTATAATCAAGTCATATTTGCGGTGGATAGTCTGGCTCTTCCGTTCTAAAGAACTGAGCTGCTGGACGTTCATACATCGAAAGTGACAAAAGACTTCACTGTGTGTGTATATATATATATATATATATATATATATATATATATATATATATATATATTATGACATTTTTTATGTTTATACATTCTTTTTATAGATACAAATGTTTAAGTAAATGCTCTGTTTTATAACAAACAGTATTAATAACATTTACCTGCTTGAATGTCCGAGAAATTTTTATAGAAAATATTCGTTCTCCGACAGGAATCGAAACTATATCCTATACGAAACCATCATTTAGCCTGACGTGCCTTAACCAATTGAGCCACAGAGAATCGTTCGGTTAGCAAGGTCGATTTTACTGTTTTTAAAATTCAATCTTTCATGAATCTCTCGCGTACATTCATATCTGCTCAAATGTAAACAAATGATGTCACATTATGAAATGGACAAAGTCCGACAATTATTTTAAGACATTTTTATGTTTATACATTCTTTTTATACATACAAATATTTAAGTAAATGCTCTGTTTTATAATAAACAGTATTAATAACATTTACCGGCTTGAATATGCGAGAAATTTTCATAGAAAATATTAAGGCACGTCAGGCTATATGACGGTTCCGTATAGGATACAGGTTCGATTACCTGGCTTATGTCAGAGGCTATCGCCCAGACGAGACTGCCGAAGTGCAGTGTCTCGTCTCGGGAAACTGACTTCGTTTTTTATGTGGTCTATAGGGAATTTTTGCCCGAGCCTACGGGCTCGGATACCCCACTTTAAACTCGGCTTTGTGCCACATCTTGCTGCGTGGGGGAGCGGGTAAATAATTATATGCGTTCAAGCGCGCCCATGCACTCATCTGTGTAGCATGTCGTGGTAATTTGTCGTTTTTTCATTTTACACTTACTCCTTATTGTTTTTTTTTTATACCTTTACTCTCTTTTTCTCTTTTTTCCTCTTTTCTTTGAGTAGCAATTTTAACTTCCGGTATTTTAGACATAATCTATCCTTTCTATAGGTAAATAGCAAAACAGACTAGGCCGTATAACTTTGGTTGGCAACCAGTTTAAGAGAAGAACAACTGTGAATTCAGATCAGCCTGGAGAGGGTTGAACTCCGTCAATCTTGTTAAAGACACACCTCTGCTGCTATGGCTGCAGTGCATATGGTGTTGCTCCGACGCTACCGTAATTTTGCTTTCTTTCCTATCTCTGACTTTTTCTCTCTTTCCTCCTATCATAAATACCTTAAGTTGGTCAATTTAATTTCTTTATTGCACCTAGTTATCTATACTTTCTTTTCTCTCTCTCTCTCTCTCTCTCAGAAACCTACTCATTCTTTCTCGTTATCAAATGAATGAATACTTCTTCATTTCCTTTTCAAAAAATCATTTCACGATTTGTTATACGTTCAAGATTCCAAAGGAATTCCAAATTTTGAAGGAATCCAAAGTTAATATGAGCCCCTAGAAAAATTCTGTAGAAAGATTAAAAATCACAAAATAATTGAATTCAACATTTCATTTATAAAGCCTAAAAATGGTAATGTCTTATGTTAATACACCCGCTCAAAATAACAATATAAACATATTTAGAAAAGACAATAAAAGATAGTAAGATTGATTGGTTGTTTTTTTACGACTTATCAACCCTTTGCAGGTTGTTTTTGTCAGAAAAATATTATTAATTAACCCATACTTGGGAGGTGAAGAGGTGGATTCATATCTTTCGCAAGGGCATTTGCGCGTAAGTGAATATGATGAACACAATTTGAATTGGAACTAGGTTATCTGATGAAGAATTTTGAGCCATTATCAATTTTCTACCCGCACATCCAAGTTTACAGCACCTGATATTCCCAAGCTGTCACTCATCCAGGTACTGACCAGGCCTGAATTTGCTTAACTTTGGTGATCATACGGGGAAACTGTGTTTCAACGTGATGCGGCCGTAAAGTAACATTGTAATGGCATTACATTACATCATCTATTGTCTTGTTTGTTGAAGAGTGATTTTTTGTTTTGTATGGAGATAAATATTTATGTGCTAAGTTGCTGTAGAGATATTATTGGTATTGCAAGACTTTTTTTTTTATTGAAGAGGCGGTAATGTATGCATAGTATTAGGGTGTTGATTGTCTAAGCTACGCTTAGACAATCAACACCCTAAGACGATGCACAAGGCTGAAAGTATGGGGCACTCAGGGATGACCAATCCCATTAATCAGTCGTAATTGTTCTAATGGATAGCATTAGGACTAAGAGGTCGCCCAGAGAAAAAGGAGAAACGTCTTGTCACAACAACATCCTGTGAATGAAAAGACAAAGAAGAGACAGGGTGTTTGTGTCGTTTCCTTTTCTAGTGGTGTAACAGACGTTGGAAAATGCAACACCGAAATCGGAACGCGCATTGGAATAGCTAAAAATGCCCTCCAAAAGCTAAGCAAAGAGAGATGAAAATTTCGTTAGAAACAAATAAAAAAGTGCTGGATTATTATATAGTACCAATTCTCTTATATGGCAGTGGATGCTGAACAATTTCCTCACAGATGAAAAAAAAAACCACGGCAACGGAAATGTGGTTCTACAAAGGAGGCTGAGAACATCATGAGCGTATGAGCAACGAAAGGAAAAATGGAAACAAAAAAGACACTTATAGTCGGAATCAGATAGAAACAACTGAAAGAAATAGGGACAGAGGAAGGCAGCGATTCCCCGACGTGACGAGATTGTGTGGATAGTCAATCAGAGGATTGAAGAATTTGCAAAGGTATAAACGTTGATAAAGGTTAAAAGGGGTAGCAAGTTGTCGGGGATGCATGGGCGCCTACGTCTTGAAGGCACACGACAAATAGATGATGATGAAAAAGAAGATACAACGCCACCTAGTAGTATTAAAAGTCCACTAGCAATAAAGGTAAGACAATTTCACACATCCTAATTTCTCTTTCCTTTCGTTTGTACATCACGTGTTTTCTCCCATTTCCTTCTCCCTTGACCAACTGAAGAAAACGGTGTTTTAGTTATAAAATCAAAGTTTTCTTTTTTTTTAAAATGGCCCTTGACAGTTTACTCATTTAAGATAAGATTGCCGACTATTAACATTTCCGTTCGATTTGGACTTTGTGGATTGGCGATACCGAATTACAAAGAACTGTACTAAATAACAGAAACAACATCACTTGAAGACTATCAACAGCTGCAACAACTAAAATGGATAGCAAATGTATCTCGAAGAGAAAATAATGACATAATCAAGATGTTAACATTCCAAATATAGTGTCAACTACTGGCAACCACTTTTTCAAATCAATAGTTATAAATGGCTTTGAGCGGGTGGACTGGCGCTACAGATTCATAAAGAACTGTATTAGATAGCAGAAACTAAATCAGTTGAGGACTACCAACAGCAGAAACAATTAAAATGGATATCACGTGTAACTCGAAGAGAAATTAATGGCAGCCAAAATGTAAACAATAAAAATATTGACATTCCACACTACAAATAAAAGTTTACGAAGGAAGATCCCATCAAGTCCAGTAGATGTTATTGCTCTTTCAGCAATAACATCTACTGAACTTGAAAAAACTATTTTCCTGAAAGATTTTATAAATCTAAACCAATATAATCACTACTTCAAACAAAAAGTTAGGAAGGAAACCTCCATTAATACTGGAAAGAGCTATAACAGCTATTAGACTTGAGAAACCAGGTTTCCTGAAAAATTGTTTTAAGAGAACGATTTTATTTTAACTGAAAGCAGTGCTGGCTCCTCGGTCAATGAACGCGAAATATTTCCTCATAGGGAAACGCTAATATTACCATTTGCTAACCAATCAGGGAAACCGAATGTAATGTATATATGCACGTGGTAGGTATAGTATAGTTAATAATTTACATACTATATAAGGCAAATGGAATGTTACAAAAATATATCTTTGTCTTATCCTATTTCCAAGTCAAATTAGAAGCACTAATGGGTAGGTGATGAATCAATAACTATTATTTACTTATTTTGCACAACAAAAAGTTTTTTTTCGATACATATCTTTGCAGAATGACTATAGTGGCGTATTCGTTACAATTAATCAATAGCCGGTAGGAATGTATATTGGTATTGTTTGTCAGAAAACGTACTTGTACAACCAGTATTGCCCGCAATGGTCTAGGCCACATTGATTTTCAGCAACTCTCAGTGATAATTCGTATATATGCTTTCTATAATTGTAGCATCCTTAATTCATAAAAATAATGTATTTATCAACGTGTGCGTAGATACATAAAATATGTAGATTTTTTAGAATTAAAAAAATTACAGATTTATTAAAGGACGTGTTCGGCAAACTTTTCTAATAGCTTAATGACTATTCGTGAGTTCAATATCACTTGAAGGAATTCAGTTTGCAAACTGCGCAGGTAACATTTCCCGTAAATTTCTTCAAGGATTCTCGAAACATTCATATATGCTCAGTTTCGTATCCCAATGTAAACAAAACAATTTCTAAAAAGTAATGGATTTTCAATTTATTTTTTTTATATATATATATATATATATATATATATATATATATATATATATCTTAGGAAATAGATGTTTTTTAATTTATTTGTTTAAGTTTTATTTTTGAAATGTATACTCATAATTAAGTAGATGCTCCGTTTTATTTATTTATTAAAAAGTATATTCATTTATCTACTTTTAACTGCCTGAAAATTCGAGAAATCTTGCTGGAAAAATATGCGTCCCCCGACAAATTTCGAAACCTGAGTCCCCGAGGGAAAAACGTCATTAGATCTTACGTGCCTTTGACCATATATATATATATATATATATATATATATATATATATATATATATATATAGTGCGCATATGAGAAGTACAAAAAATAAAGGTTAAAATTTTACATTGAAAACGTTGTCGATTTAAAACTCGTGTGAATTCCTGCTCCCTCCCTTCCTCCTATATATATATATATATATATATATATATATATATGTGTGTGTGTGTGTGTGAATTTATCAGTAAAGCCGTTATTATTATAAAGAAATAATGAAACGTGCTACTTCCTTGAGTTCTTGCCATTTTTTCATTTCAATTACCTATATATATATATATATATATATATATATATATATATATATATATATATATAAATATATATTCTCCCATGATTTTGAGACAAGAAGATGCAAAAGTTCAATTTTATTACTGAACTGTTAGACCACCTACATAGATGACCTGATTATAGTACACTCAACCACTTTTGTCAGATGAATTGATAACAGATAAATGTTGCTTAGTGTGCTACAGACTCTAATCATCAAAGAAAACTGATGCAATGAAAAAAATGTCAGTTCTGTAATCGTTAATCGTTATAGTAATCGTAAATGTTTCTTTACTGCCGTTTTAATCTGTGTTTGACCCTCTTTGTATCGGAAGCTTCCTAAAACCAATATTTAGACTGCTATTTTCTCATTTTGGTCTGAATTACACATTTTGGCTGGTACTGAAATGTAAGTAAAAACATTTAATTGGTAACTTCAATCACAGTAGATCGGCGCTGTAAACTTGACGTATCGCACTAATGATTTGTGCCAGTAACTGTTTCTAAACTTCACCTTTTTTTTTTAACAAAAATACGGTTAAAAAATCGATTTGTTGCTGAAGTAGCAATAATGAATGTGTAATGAAGCGTAGCAAAGCAATACGCGTTCCTAGTTTCGTAAAAACTAAAAAGGCAACGGCGCAGAGAGTTGCCATGGCATTGTCAGTTAAAATATCATAATTCGTCCTATTTGAATATGAGATTTTTCAATGTACATTCATTTGTTTTATTTAATCAACACACCCCAAGAAAGGCGTTAATTGCGATAAGGCACAAAGGGGTTAGACGGAGGGTAAAGATGATGAGAAGACTTTAGTAGGAACCTAAAATCCAACCCTAAATAAGAAACGAGGAATAAACACTCTATTGAAGAGACCCTGAAGGTTTGTGAACCGGACGATAGGCGAACCTATTTACTCCTATTGAGGAAAATAAATAGTAAATAAAATTTCAGAATTTATGCGGAGACGTTAGAAGGAACCGTCACAATGCTAACCGGGAAACAAGAAATATAACCTCTATTCTTGTTCAAATGACGGAGTGTGAACCTGACGATATGCAAATCTATCCACCAAAAATGAAATAGAAATAAAAATAAATTGTAAATAAAATTTCAGGATTTATGCGGAGAGTTTAAAGTGGACTTTGGAGACAACTTTCGAAATGTTTGAAAAGCTAGGAAATATATTTTAAAACCATTTTATTTAAATATTTTTATCGAGGTCTCTGTTTCGGCATTTGGATTGAATATTTCTTTTTGATTTTCTTTTCTATGATGAAAATACTTCTCGAATTTTCTTTCTTTTCACTCTTATATTTTGATACAGTTCAACCTATTTAACCCGGCACCCTTTTTCAGTACTGATGATCAATTTACAATAACGTCTTTTTTTTATTTGTTTTTTTTTATTGTTGTTGTTGTTGTTGTTGTAGTTTACTTTAACACATATGCGCGGGTGGCTTGGAATGATAATTCGGAGAGCATAGTTCGAATTCCAGTCGAGTTTGTTACATCTACTTACGCGCAAATACCCTTGGGGGACGTATGAATCTATCTCTTCTCCCTCCCGCTCAAGGTTAAATAGTATGACTTCTATCTGGAAAAAAACATTGTTATGTCAATAAAATTCCTAATGGAAATAATCACTCACAAAAAAGAAATGTTCTTCATTCATATCCGAAAAATATGTTTGGGTTTTAAATAACCTACAAAAGGTTGATAACCCGTAAAAGTAGTTTGGTCGTAAATATAGAGGGACCAAGTGAAGATTGAACTCACTACTCAGTAGTAATGGTCAAGTAGACGAGGACGGTAAACATTATTCGACTTTAATGTGCCAGTGTCCTTTTTGTTATTGCATGTCTTTCTTGTGTGTCTGTTGGTAATTATTGAAATTCGGGAAGTAGTTTCTCTCACGTTTCCAGTATCCGTTATCCGTTCCATGTAGAATTTCATTTTTTTTGTAAACATAAATTTCTTCGAACCTCACTTGTCATGACTGGTGTAGCAGACATTTTTTATGGAAGCCGAGATTAATGTTAATCATTCTCAGAAGAGAAGTTATAACAAAACAAAGAAATAAAAATATATATGAAATACGAGTCCTACTGAGAAAAAGGATTTTTATTACCGTATTTGACGGCATATAAGGCGCACTTTTTTTTTTATTAAAAATATCTTTTAAAATTCCTCTGCGTCATATATGCCATATCAAAATTCGCGATAGTCGGCCGAAATTAGCTACCTGGCAAATCCTATTTAAAAGGCTCTTATGCAGATTAAAAGTGTTATCATTAATAATATACATTATATTAATTTCATCACGTTTAATATTAGTACTTTGTTTCACTAAAATTATATACAATAAATTCAAATTATATATTTGTAAAATATATTTCTTTCATTAATATCTCACTTGCGATATAAATACAATCAGAATTTTTAATTCCTAACTATTCCAATAAGGTATTACTAACATTGTTTTCATGTGAATAGAATTTATTCATATTGTAAATAATCATTGGGGTCTTTTAAATTGTTGTTTTATTCCCCTCCCCCCACAGACAAAGAAATGTACATATGGGGACTAGTTAGGATTTCATAGAGACATTGAGGTATTATGGTGGATGTTGTAAGAAAGGTAGGTGAGAACGTGTTGTCTTGGTGTTAGGACTATTGTTTGTATGTTTGGGTCAGTGTTTGTGGCTAGCTAAGTTTAGAATTTAAGACAGAAGACTGTCCTTTTTCCAATCTCCTTTTTTGGCCTCGTGTCACATATTGTATAGCGTACAATTAAATTTCCAATAAGATATTTACAAGAGACAAGTTGTACAGATCATATAAAGGATATAATAAAGTTTTTATAGGCTCGTGTTCTTTTTCCCTATTATTTTTCGTTTAATTGTAATTATGGCTTGTTTAACCAAAATAATGCCTCATAAATATAGCTTAAGCTGTACCATTTACTAATAATTTTACAAATTACTAATTTTTCTTGATTTGCCCGGCTGAAATTGGAGTGCGTCTTATATGGCGTCAAATACGGTACTTAGAAAAAAAACGTAACTATTTTTAAAATTGTTTCTTTATTTTTGTTCCCACAAATAATTTTTTATGGAGATTATCTGCTGATAAATAGCAAAAATTTGACGGTTTTCGTGTTTTGAGTCATAATTCTTTGACTGAATACGTTCTTTGCGATTTCCACAACAATAAAACACACTTCGAAATTCCATTATATTTAAAATATTTAACCATACAATGTATGGTTAAATATTTTCATTAAACAACTTTATCAAAAATATTTGAAAGAATTGTTTTTATTATTTTATATCCTATTGTTATCAATTTTATATTTGTATATTGACTATCAGATCAAATATATTTCATTAATGAGGAATAGGTACCAAGGAAACTTGGATAATATTGATGATCATATACAACAGGGGTCAGCAACCTTTTGCAATGTACCGACTTAGTGTTTTAAACCTTTTGCTATATACGGACAGAGTTTTAAAATCATTGAATGTGCCAACAGCATACATTTTTTTTTATACAAGGTCAATATACGTGTTCTACAATATATTTTATATAGTAACATATAGTATATATACTTTATCATATATTAAAATTGAAACAATTAAATATTTTCTTTGGGTTATAGTAGTTATTGGTTCGGAATTCATGATGTCATTTGCGGCTGCGTGCCATTAAAAATTGCTTGGCATGCCACATGTAGCACGCATGCCATAGGTTGCCGACCCCTGGTATATAAGGTGGAAATAATTATAAAAGGCAAAAATAATGTTCATTTTACCATTAGAAATTTTTTTTTCTCCTCTCATTTCTGTTCCATTCTATTTTTCCCTCTCTCCTTCCCTTTCTTTTTCTTTTTCTTTTTCTTTCTTTCCCTCCCTCTCTTTCTTTTTCTTTCTTTCCCTCCCTCCCTCCATTTTTCTTTCTTTCCCTCCCCCCTCCCTTTCTTTTTCTTTCTTTCACTCCCTCCCTCCCTCCCTCCCTCCTTTCCCTTTTCTTTTTCTTTCCCTCCCTCCTTTCTTTTCTTTTCTTTTCCCTCCCTCCCTTTTCCCTTTCTTTCTTTCTTTCTTTCTTTCTTTCTTTCTTTCTCAATTTTTTTATATGTCTACCTGTTCACTTCTATCTTAATTGTTTTATATCTAGCTGTCTGTACATTCATTTCTTTCTTTCTTTTTTAATTTTTACTCCGTCTGTCCATTTCTATCTATATTATTTTTTTAATATCTCTCTTTCTGTATATTTTTTCTTTCTCAGTGTTTATTTAAATATCTAACTCTGTCTATTCATTTCTATATTCTTTTTTTAAACTATCCATCTGTCTGTATATTTCTGTCTTTCTCAATTCTTGATATAACTATCTAAGTGTCCGTCTATTCATTTCTATCTATCTTAAATTTCTTTTTGATATCCCGCTGTCTGTACATTCTTTCTTTCTTTCTTTCTTTCTTTCTTTCTTTCTTTCTTTCTTTTCTCGAAAACAAAACGAAATGGCCCATTATTTATTTGAGGTAATGTTAGGGCGGAACACATGTGCTAACACTAACTAACTTATAAACTGACGGAGAAACAAATAAACTTTTAATTCGATGTTAATAAATAAACGCATATTCTAAAAGGCTAATACTTAAACAATATTGATATGCAGAAGAAAGCTATGTAAATGATCATAAAGATTATAATAACGATATGCGAGAGTATATATATATATATATATATATATATATATATATATATATATATATATATATATATATATATGCAACATCTTTCGATTTTCATTATTGTTTTTATTTTAACTGCGTTTTAAAAACATTTTTCAATTTCTTTCTTCCTTTTACCAAAACATAAATAAATGAAAAAATAAATCCAAGATAATTAAATCTTTTGTTTTCGTATCCTCCCACTTAGGGGATCTAATTTGCTCTTATATTCGTGTTCGGTTAGTCAATAAATTTCAAAGAATTCGATTGGAAATGTTGACCAAATACTCAAATTTCTCTTGCAGTTAAGCAGCAACCCACTTAAGTAAACCATTAAAAACAAAAGTACATAAATAGATATACACACCCCGTCATAAACGCGCATCTACTCGTAAATATATCCACGCGCATTCTTTTTATGATGGTATTGTTATAGTAATATGTCTAAGCAGTGTAACAGATGCCGACGCGGAAAGCGGTAAAAGCAGGGTTAAAATTTCGCATTAATTTGTTGCGTTCACTTTCGTATTAACGCCCCCGGGAAAGGCGTCAACTCGTCTTTTTCCTTATTTCCTAGCTGAGGGTTATGGGCAGACTACGTTCTCTAGCTTTGAGAGGTAACCACTTTAGGAGAACTAAAAATCTGAATTGCATATAATGGAAAACGCAATGGGAATCCACTCAAAAATATATGGAAATTCGAAAGAAAAAAAAGAATCTGTGGCAAGTCATAATGTAATGATATTCATCCTGAAGAGATATGGCGTTTAAAATATATATATATATATATATATATATATATATATATATATATATATATATATATATTAGTTAGTTGAAGAATTTGGTAAACCGAATTGGTAAATCCAAGGAGGATGAAATCCTGAGAGCTCAATGTGAAGAACAGAGCTAATATTTAATGAACAACAGACACTTTAAGGTACCATTACAATAATTTATTTCACCAAAATCCTTTAAAAAGGATTTTGGTGAAATAAATTATTGTAATGGTACCTTAAAGTGTCTGTTGTTCATTAAATATATATATATATATATATATATATATATATATATATATATATATAATGATAGTATACAGTTTAAATTACATTTACTTACCTTTTAGTTTCAAATAGATGGGCTGGGACGTTTATTTAATTTTCTTTGGTAAAAGGTCTTACCCAACACATTTTTTTTATTAAGTATTCAGTGGAATTCCTACTACTCATTATTTTAGACCGCGAACATTCTAGGACAGAATGAAAATTTAAAAAAAAGTAAATATTATAAAAAAATGTTCCAATCATCCTTCTTATTCCAGTCTGTGCATGCATACACCGGTCGATGTACATTTGCCAATTCTTAAAGAATCTATCTATCTATCTATCTATCTATCTATCTATCTATCTATCTATCTATCTATCTATCTATCTGTTTTTACTATCCTTTAGATAGCTTTAAGAATTAAAAGCAACTGAGGAGAAAGATTCTCTACAACTATAAAGAATGGCATAGAATAAGATTACCAAACTGTTTGCAGGCACATCGAAATAAATGCGAATGAATAAAAAGAAACCTCTCTCTCTATATATATATATAATGTATCGAAAGGAGAAAGGAAAGAGAGAGAGAGAGAGAGAAGAAGAGGAATTAACAAAGATCGATTTCTGTTTTAGAGAAAGAAAAATATGTTAAAAAGTCTTATAATTTACCAATTTATTGATAATCAGCATTGGCTCTCTCAGGACGTGTATGATTATGGTTCTCCACAGCTTTCTGTCTTATATTGTTCTTAACATTACTTGTTTTTAATGACCACTATTTTTAATTATCGTATTTGCGCTTTCATCTGTTTGCTGAAACTTATCAAGAGCCTGTCTCATTGCTTGCCTCTTATTCTCCTCCCTTTTATGTAACTTGTACATGTTAAATTCTCGAAGCCTATTTTTTGCATATTTAAGGGTTTTTAATGGCCAAGGACACATTCCAAAAGTTGGGCAGAGTACTGCAAAACAGGAGGATTTCTTTAGTAAAAAAAGAATACTGAGCTGTTACGTGACATATGTCCTTTACGGCAGCAAATGTTGGATGGTATCCTGAAAGATGAAGAAGAGACTCGAGGCGACAGAGATGTAGTTCTACAGAAGGATGCTAAGGATATCATGGACTGAGCGTGTGAGCAACGATGAGATCTTAGAGAGGTTGAAAACAAGAGGGAGGCTTATACTTAACATTAGAAAGAGGTAGCTGAAGTTTCTGGGACACATAATGAGGAAGGAGGGCCTGGAGAATCTGATACTCATGGATCGAATAGCAGGAAAGAGAGACAAAGGGAAAACAACGCGTGACATACATGGCGGATTTAAGCAAGTGGATGACAGAACGTGGTCTGGGGGAGGAAGCAGAGGGAAAGAACTTATTGAAAGTTGCAAGGGATAGAGGGAGGTGGAGAGCTATGATCGCCTACGTCCTGAAACAAAAAAGGTTGTTAAAATAGGAAGTATCAACTGGGTTATTTGGCATTGTTTGAATTAAACTCATTTTCTGAATCATCCGAATTATATAGAATTAAAAACGTACATTTTTTCACCCAATATAAGGCAAAGAGCCACTCAAGGTAGAAGATCACTGAACGAGTTTTTAGTAAAGGTGTAAATGAAAGAAGTATACATTATGACTATATGTAGGATAGATAACAGGTGATCCTGGACCTGAAGAGGTTTAGATGTCTAGTTACCGGGGAAGATTCCATGCTGCAATCTCTTTCCTACATACAACCTCGCAAGCCTTTTGCTACTCTATCACCCTTTCCATGGAAAATCTCATAATGAGTTCCATCTTTTGTTTCACCAATTCAGACCTTTATTGCGACGTCATGCTTCCAAGGAGTCGAATCACCATTATTTTCCCCGTTTTCCAAATGTAAGAAGAATGTTACTCTCAGACAGTATTTTCCCACCAACTGCCACTTTGTGGGATAAATTCCCGCGTACATGATTCCCAGAACACTTCAGCCTTGACCTCTTCAAATCAAAGGTCAATTGTTATCCAGCCTCATAATCCCCCCTGTCTAGCAACTTCTCTTCCATTTATATCAAGCAACTCATCCAGAATTTCCTATTTAACTATAACTCTCTACCTTGTGTGGCTCTTGAGCCCTGTTTAGGGTGAAATTTTAGTAAAAAAAAGTTTTTATATTATTATCTTAAAAATAAGATAAACTGTTCGAAAGTCAACTGTCTGTAAGAATTTTCAGAAAGATGAAACTTCCAACTATCCTTTAATATCATATAACTGTTGAAAATAGTATACCTATAGTAATAATGAGTGAAATTAACGCAGTTCGCCCAGAGTAGATTGTTAGAGTCTTTCTTCTGTGCTGATTTTAATATAAACAAAAGCGGCAGAAGCAGCCTTTAAAATATTTACAACGATATTGGCATTGACATTAAACACAAGCGAAGAAACCATATGTCTGCACTTGCATTCCAACATCAAAAACAAAAAAATCGCGTATTTGAGAAATGTGTAACTTATGAATAAAACAATAAAAATAAGAAACTTAATGCTTTTTATGAAACTTTCACGTTTTCAACAATTTGCGTATGTTCCACAAAATATACCAGAATATCTTTCATCAGCATTATAAAACATGTTGTCAAATTATAATTTGTTTGATTCATAGCTAATGTTAATACATACGCACAATATCATACCCGTCTCCTTTGATGACTTGAGTTTCGAATTTGTTGTATCACTCTTAATAAAAAGAAAAGACTTTCTCAAAATGTTACTAAAAGAAAAGTATTATCAAAATCTTAATTAAAGCAGGTAGTATTGAAATTTTAATAAAATTAAAATGGTATTGTCAAAGTATTAATAAAAAGATGTATTGTCAAAATATTAATAAAATAATAAAAGAAAAGGCGTTGTCAAAGGTATTAAAAAGAATATGTATTGTGGAAATATTAATAAAAAAGGCGCTGTTAAAATATAAATAAAATATAAAGATATAGTCAAAATATTAATAAAAAGATGTCAAAATTTTAATAAAATGAAAAGGCGTTGTCAAAATATTAATAAAAATAATATATAATATCAAAGTCGTAAAAGTTCTTAAATTTAGTTGTAATTTTCTATCATTAAAATAATATATTACAACTACATTTCTAAAATTAGATACCAATTTGAAAGTCGGTAAGTAAATGAAATAATGTTTGAAATTAGGCATTTTTATTAAATTTGTCTACTTGTAGGTCTGGTAAAATAATTAGAAGGCTTTAAGTATTAAACGCTTTCCTTTCCTTTCTGTAGGATCATACCTATTTTTAAGGACTTGGAATGGCACTAAATTACAATATTGTGGGGGTAATTTGCGCTCCATAATGTTTTGTTCTTTATCGTTGCATGCGAGAAAAGAACATAGCCAAAGTAAATGATTATAGGACAGAATTTTGTAGACCCTTTATCTACCCACCCAGGCTGGCACCGAGGTTACAACGTGGAGGCCGGCATGAATATGCCACCAAAAATTGTCCAGTTCCCTTGACACTTTCGTTTTTTGGACGCCTTAAGCATCAGGGATTAATTCTGATAATCTCCATAAAATATGTTGTGGAAAGTGCCACATGGATGATGCTCCTCAGAATTTGAAGTATTTACAAAGATTAGTTTAGTTTCATATAATGAAGAAAGAGGGCTTGGAGAATTCGACATTCACAGGCTATATTGAAAGTATGAAGAACAGAGAGCAATCTAACTAACGAGATTGTGTAAATGGATGGCGGACAAGAGACGGGGAAGTGTGTTAAGGAGACAAACATTACTTTGAGCTACAACAGATAGAAAGGCATATGAAAGAGAAAAGAGTTTAGTTTGGTACAGACTAGGTTATTATCTTGGCAGCACCCGAATTTGGTTAGGTACCCACTTTCTATTTAAAACACTATCAGGAAATGGATATAAACATTGCCAGATTGATTTTGAAATTAATTTAATTAAAAAAATAGGACGAAAGAAAATCATACAAAAAAAAACAAAAAAAAACAAAACAAAAAAAAAACAAAACAAAAAAAACAAAAAAACACACCATTACACATATAGATTGTTTATCAGGGAGAAAAGGAAATGTCTTAATCTGACTAAGAAAGGATTAAAAAAAATCGGTAATTAGTTATTTGAGTAATTTTTCAGTAGCCAAAAAAGAAAGGCTTCGAGCAAAGTGAATTCTAAGGGTTTAGGCAAAGATCGTTCTTCTTTAAACATTGTGAAGTGGCACGACAAAACCACAAACACAGAACTGTACCAAATAACAGAAACCACGTTACTTGAGGACTACCAACAGCAGAAAAACTAAAATAGCACGTGTAATTCAAAGAGAAAATAATGACATAAGATGCTGACATTCCACACTACTTCAAATAACAGGTTAGGAAAGCAACCCTCCTTAGTAATGGAAAGAGCGATAACAGCTACTGGACTTGAAGAACCTATTTTACTGAAAACTGTTTCAAGTAAAAGATTTTATAAATTTCAACCGAAAATGTTTCCTTATAGGGAAATGGCTAATATTGCAAGTACCAATTCTGCATATATTGGTGGGCTTAATTCATATTTGTAAAGACAGATGACGTCATGTCACGATTCCCTTATGCCATTAGGAACGTAACTTGACATCATATGTACTGCAGCCGTAGCGGAAGTGGCGTGTCTTGGGCAAGATAGTGTGACGGAGCCCATCCCTCGTCAGGCTGATCTAGAATATAAAGATTTTTCTTTCTTTTAGACTGACTGCCACCTCAAGGCAAGAGAGCCCAGTTTTCTCTGATGTTTCAAAATTACCAACAATTTATAGTAAGAATTACCAACAATACAAATTATAAGAGAAAATACCAACAATTCATTTTATCTGTATTTGAAGGCATACAGTTGTGCTCGAAATATATTTAGTTGAAGCCATAATATTGTATTCAAAATATTTAGACTTCGGCATAACCAATTAACCAATTCTGCTATTTAACCCATAGCCAGAGGAAGATTCATGACTTTTCCATAGACATCATCGCAAAGTGAATGTAACATTATGTGCACCTTCAAAGGAATATAAACAATCCATATACTAGTTCTTAATAACCTGGAAAAGCGATAAACCGAATGTATAAATACAATTCAGAAATGTCACATTGACTTGATATGATCAATAAAAAAAAACTTTTCACAATAATTTTCATGTCCTTCTTTTCGTTTTTCAACTCTGCATAACGTGTTTCTTCTCGCCTTGAATTAATAATGAGAATTTGATTGGGCGATCAGTAAATCTGTTCTATTCCGTCTGAGGTAGGCTCTTCTATTAAATAATCAATATCCCAATAACTCTTGCCTGTTACCGAATACGACAGCCGATTAATCCTGGTGGACACACAACGTGTAAAAATCAAAGAGACTCAATTTG